CACTGTTGTTTGCTGACTTTTTCATGATCGCCATTCTCACGGTGTGGGAGGTACCTCATTGTGGTTTGGATTTGCTTTCTCTGATGGACAGTTGATGATGAATTTTTTCATTGTCTGGTGGGCTGGTATGAATGTTTCTTTGAGAATGGTTGTTCTATCCTTTGGCCATTTGATGGGTGTTGTTCTTGTATTGTTTGAGTTCTTTGTAGGTTTGGATATTAGGCCTTTGTAAGTGAGTAGGTTTGCCAAAATTTCTCCCATTTGTAGGTTTTGGTTCCACTTTGATGGTAGTTCTTTTGGGATGTGCGAAGGCTTGTTAATTAGGATCCATTTGTCATTTGGTTTTGCTGCTGTTTGCTTTGGGTGTTTTAGAATGAAGTCTTGGCCCATTGCCTGTGTCCTGATAGGTTATACTAGGGTTTTCTCTGGTTTTATGGTATTGAGGTCTTAAATTTAAGTCTCTCATCATCTTGAATTAATTTTTGTATAAGGAGTAAGGAAGGATTCCGTTAGCTTCTTATTATGGTAGCATTTTCCCAGACCATTTATTATGGGAATCCTTCCTTTCTTGTTTCTCAGGGTTTGTCAAGTCAATGGCTGTATGATGTGTGGATTATTTTTGAGGACTCTGTTCTGTTCCATTGGTTACTTATTCTGTTGGTTACCAGTTCCGCTGTTTTGTTACTGTAGGCTCTGGTAGTATAGTTTGAAGTCAGGTGCGTGCTGCCTCCATCTTTGTTTTTTGACTTAGGGATTGTTCTTGGGAGATGCGGCTTTTTGGTTCATTGACTTTAAAGCGTTTTCAATTCTGTTTAGAACATGGTTCATTGGTGCTGATGGAATGGCTTGAATCTATAAAGTTACCTTGGGCGCTATGGCCATTTTTCCACGATATTGATCTCATCATGGGGGTGTATGTCTTATTTGTTGTTCCTTTTTATTTCCTGAGCGTGGTTTGTAGTTCTCCTTGGAAGAGGTTCCTTTTACATCCTTGTATGTTGGGTCCTAGGGATGTAAAAGCTGGCAAATCCTGACAAGCTCTGTTATTTCAGAGCACAAACTACCTGCCATGACTGTTCTACTGGCAACAGCTTTTCATAATCACACTTAAAAAGTAATACCAGTTTTTGGCCAACCTTCCTTTTTTGGTGTAGTAATGACTTTTCTCCCTGAACACAAAATTTATTGGTTATAACAAGTCACACTTGGATATTATGGTTTTAGGCAGACACTTTAATTGAACTGACACAAGTTTCTGGTCAGAGAATACCGTATGGAACAAATTTGAATTGCATACCATATTTGGACAAAGACAGAATGTTTTGGTTTCCTTAAGTACTCCAAGTTAGAGGTATGAAGAGGTAGCATCTTCTGTGATAATGCTATGCACGTGCCCTAATTTCATGTGTTTTAAAGCACTCTCATGTTTAGCTTTCATTTAATTCTGAAGATGTCTATGTTACTACTTTAATTTTTAGGTACAATTTGAGTAAGAACAGTGATGAGCTAATTGAACTCTCTTTAGGGATAGCTGCCTTTACTAAATATACATTTTTTGCAAATGAAGAGATAAAGCTCTGAATCATTGCACGTCCTGACATCCTCCGGAGACTAAGAAACACAGCGGAGGGAGAATCAAATGCACTGTGGATTACCACTATCTACCATGATCCCACAGCACTGTTACAACAGCTGATGAAGGCAGGGGAGGAGGGAGTCAGGAATGACACCCTTCCAAGAAACTACAATTTGAGAGATTTTTAAAGAGTATATTAAGATATATAAAAACTTAAAAAGGAAGCAACATTGGCTAATTCTCAAGGAAAAGAAAATTATGAAGTACTTCTAATTCTGATATTAAATGTGTAAAAGTCCATCACCTGCCACCAGCAAAAACTGATTCCTTCACACTTCTCTAACCCACACTCCGGACTGCATCATCTTTTTTTTTTTGAGATAGAGTCTCTCTCTGTCACCAGGCTGGAGTGCAGTGGCACGATCTCAGCTCACTGCAACCTCCGCTTCCTGGGTTCAAGCGATTCTCCTGTCTCAGCCTCCCGAGTAGCTGGGATGTCAGGCACGTACCAACACGTCTGGCTAATTTTTGTGTTTTTAGTAGAGACAGGGTTTCACCATGTTGGCCACTATGGTCTCTATCTCTTGACCTCGTGATCCTCCCGCCTCGGCCTTTCAAAGTGCTGGGATTACAGGCGTGAGCCACTGCGCCTGGCCCGCGACTGCATCTTCTTTTCTTCTTTTGGCAAGTCCAAGCAATCTTTCTTACATTACATTTGATGTAGAAACTGTACTTAAACTCTTCATTTATGTAATGATATACAGCATTTGGATCCCTATCAGCATTTCTCCCACTGTCCTACATGCTTTGCAAATACTCTAATCCTCACACTAACCCACTGAATTGTGCACTTTTACTGCATATATTTGACAGATGAGGAACTGGTGGGACAGACACTAAGTAACCCGCACAAGGTCACAGAGCTGCTAAGTGGCAATCAGAATTCAATCCCTGCCATCTGAATGGAGCCCTTCAGGGCTGGCTACAGAGTCTCTCTTTGTATACAGTACTACACTCTGCTGCCAAACATTTTTTACATTTACTAGTAAATATCTGCCCTTATGGTCTCTGATGACAATTTGTCTTTTCTCTCCTGAAATGCCATCTCTTTTCGGTATATGTAGTTTATGACTACTGACACGTTATTATAGAACAGTTCCATTTTAGAGACTACTGAACTCTAAGACATAGAAATATGTTTTTCCCAGATTTGAAGACAGTAAAATCAGGGACTCTTTCTCTCCAAATTTTTATTTCCATTTTCTTAAATGCTACTTTAAAAAAAAAAGGTTTAATTTTCAAAAAGGGTATTTTGCCGATATCCTAACAACTATTAAAATAACCACTGTGAATTTAAGTAAGACTAATGTTTAATTTATGTTAGTATGGTAACCTCTCTGAAAACGAAAACTAAAACAATAACAAATTGTACTTTAAAAAACTTCCAGTAATCAAGACAGAAGCGTGGAAATATGCCTCTTCATGGTTCCTTAAGGCAAAGGTATTTTTTTCCCCTTCCAAATTAATTCTGTGGAGTGGTTTTAATTTCTGAATTCAAAAGGCAGTTATAATTAATGGGAAGAGAAATGGCAGAAGAGGCAGGAAAGACATTAAGCACCAGGAGTGAAGGAATAAGTGAAAAGAAGAGGACAGAATATGCTTTCATAGTGGAACACTGTTGATTGATGACTTAAAACCAATATTCCAAAGGGATTAAGGTCAGGATTAGGACCTTTATATGCTGATTGAGGTTCCGATTTCAGCTCCTAACAGTGGTTGTCTCCAACTGAGAGCGCTTATTTAAAACGATCCTTTACTAAAAGAGCTTCAAATTATCTTACGAGTGCTTTTAAAAAAGATATTTCTTTTTTACAAAAAAAGATAATTTTTTTGTAAAATATTCTGTCTTTGCTTAAGAAACTCTTCCCATTTTTTTAAAGATCAACTTAGAAACTAAACTAAGGTTCTAAAAATACTGACAGATAACATTAATGCATGGCAAGAAGGTAAGGACAGGAGAGCTGATGTTCGCAGAGCACCACTGCATGCCAGGCACTGTTCCAGGAAGCTGACGGAGACCTTATCTATTTGTTCACCATCACATTTTGGCACCTTCCAAGTACCACCGGGTGCAGTGCAAGCACTCAGCTAACGTCTGCTGAGTGGTTAGTTAACAAGTGGGGCAATCTGTACAACTCAGAATTCAACTACAGTGACCTTTTAATTCCCATGAATTTATTTTTCCGTATTAGAGAAAAAAAATCTGACTTCTAAGGCCAAGCTACCAAAAATTCTATGTGGCTAATTCACATCAGATTTCATTCTGAAAATCTCGTATATTACTATCAGTTATTTGCTTAATGCAAAACGTATTTATTTCAATTAATGTTTTATGGATCCTTCATATAAATTAGGATACAAAAAAACCGTGGCGCCTTAAAAATCCTCTATACTGTTAAGAGCAGGGAATTGCTACCACACAGCCTATAATCCCCTTAGCAGCGTGTCTGAAATTCTTCCAGATTCTGTCAAGCTTCAAAACTCAACAGCACCACCCACAAACCAACTTTTACTTGCCCATTCCCAGGCCTTCTAATATGCATTCCCCCAGCCCAGGTCCCCCCACCTGGAACTAATGTTTAAAATTCTCGAGGCTCGTGGGACCATTTAGCTGCACCTCAGTTAAGAAATACCACTTAAAGCCCACCGACCTCCTCCCCCTAGGACCTTGGGGCAATTTCATGACCTTGCAGGGTTACAGTTTCAGCAAGTGGTTTCAAGGCAGTGCTAGGTGTCCTTCCCTTCCCCGCCCTCAGACAGATCTGTACGGTCCCTTCTGCACCAAGACCACCCTCAGGGGCATCTAGGATGTTTGCCTTTGCTGTTCCAGCACCCAGCAAAGCGTCTGCAACACGGGAGGTGCTCGACGGCCGCGCTCTCTGACTCGATCGAATCTTAAAGGGTCACTGTGTCCAGCACTGGAGGGTTTCAAAGGGCGTCAAGGACAAAAAGCACAACTTAACATTTCCCCTGGGCTATCGCTCAGGCTCCCGACACCTCGCGGGCCCTGCGACTGGGGGCCTGGCTCGCAGTGGAAGCTCAGGAAGTGTGGATTAGCTGAGGGAACTCAAGACCGCCCAGACGTCAATTTGGACTCAGGCCGCAGTCCCGAGGTCCCAGGTGGCCCTCCGGCCTCAGGGGACCGGGCGGGACCTTGCTCCGTCGGAGCCGGGCCCTGCGCACGCCTCGCCGGCCTCGGAGCCGCTTCCTGCAGCCCCCGCTACCCGGCGCTTCCGAGGGGCCAGGGGCCCAGTCAGGCCCTGCGACCCCAGATCTGCTCCTGCGCCCATCTCCTCCTCCCTGCCCCGTGCCCAGGCTCTTCCATCCCTTGCGGTCCTGCCGATCTTCCCGCAAGTTGCCATACCATTGAGGCTGCAAGGTCCAGGCCGACAGCCCAGCTACGCCCGCGCGAGAGAACATGGTAGCCCCAACCCTGCTGAAGGTCGGTCAGGAAGGCCTCAGCGCGCATGCGCAGAAGCCTCCTGGCGCGCCCCTCCCACCTCGCTCTCTCCTTCAGTCTCGTTTCCTCGCGCTACGGCGAGGGGAGTCTCGCGAGCGTTGCAACCCAGTCTTCCCAGGCTCCACCTCTTTTCTCCTCTCAGCTGGGATTTGTCCCGCCCACCGCCGCCAGCCAAGTTCCGTTTCCGGCTTGCTGGGCACTAGGGTCCAGAAAGTGACCGCTGCCGTGGTCGCCATGGGGAAGTCGGATTTTCTTACTCCCAAGGCTATCGCCAACAGGATCAAGTCCAAAGGCCTGCAGAAGCTACGCTGGTATTGCCAGATGTGCCAGAAGCAGTGCCGGGACGAGGTGAGTGGGCCCGGAGTGGCCCCGTCTTCCCAGGAGGGCCCCTGGGAATCCAGGATCAGGTCCTGGACGCGGGGCTGAGGGCGCGGGTCCGGGGCTCCTGGGATCCGGGTCGTGAGGCTTCTGAGGTCTGCACTGGGCGAGTCAACTACTCAGCGCACTAGAGCCGTCCCTCCCCGCAGCCCGCGGGGCCAGCGGGCAGCCTGTGTTCTGCGACGCCTCATTCCTCCCTAGTTCCGATCCCCACCATCAAAGAAACGACATCAGAAAAGGTTTTGTAGCCCTCACAAGGACGGGGATACTGCAATACTAGATGCCCGGGCAATGCCAGTAACAGTCATCAGCTCTGACTTGACTTGGCTCTTAAGAGAAACAGGGTGGTTAAGATACACACCTCTTTTGGGATCAGTTGAAAAAGGAGAGCTAAGCTCTTCCACACAACTCATCTAGCAAGCATTTATTGAGCACCTACACTGTACCGGGCACTGAATAATACTGTGGTTAAGATTATGGATTTATCTGGTTTATGGATATATCAGACTGTCAAAATTTAAAGTCAAGCTGGGCCACTTACCAACCATGTGGTCTTGGTCAAGTTATTTACTTATATTCTCCTTTACTTATCTCTAAAGAGGGAATAATAATTTCACCTACTTGTAGGATTGTCGTTGAGTTTTAAATGAGTGAAGTATATATAGAGTGGCTCAAGGAGTCTGGGCAGATCTTGAAAAGCCTTATATGCTGCACTATGGAATTTACGCTTTTCCCCATTAAAGAGGTGGTTGATGGAATGCTGTGCAGGCTAGCGATGTGATCATAATTTTCTCCGAAGATCGGACTGGATTGGGTAAGGGTGGAAGAACACTGAGGCAATTGGAATAATCTAATCCAGTGTTTCTACAAGTGAAGGAAGAGATATTGTAGGTGGGACTCATACTGACTAACATTGATACAGTTATTCTCTTTAGTTCTATTAATGAATACCTGTATATCCATTATCTAATGTCTTAGTCTGCTTGGACTGCCATATAAAGTGCAATAGATTGGGTGGTTTAAATGACAGAAATTTATTTCTCACAGTTTCGGGGGCTGGGAAGTTCAAGATCAAGGTGCTGGCATGGTCAGATTCTAGTGAGGGTCCTCTTCTTGGTTTGCAGAAACTGCCTCTATCCTCACAAAGCAGATAGAGCAAGCTCTAGTAGACACTTCTCTTCCTCTTTTTTTTTTTTTTTTTTAAGATAGGGTCCCACCCTGTTCATCATGCAGGCTCTACCCTTGTGACCTCATCTAAACCCGGTCACCTCCAAAGGCCCACCTCCTAATGCCATCCCCTTGGGGGTTAGGGTTCAACATATGAACTTTGAGGGGGACACAAACATGCAGTCAGTAACACCCAGACTTAACACTTTAAGTAATCTTGCCATGTTTAATTTATAAAAAATATTTTAAAGTAAATTACCAATATCAAGATATTTCACCTCTAAATACTTAAATAGACATCTCTAAAATTTCAGGATTCTTTTCTATATAACCACAATATATGTAATCAACATAACAAAATTAATAGAAGTTCCTCTTTATCTAATACACATTCACACTTCCTCAGTTGTCCTCCAACTGCTTCTTGAAATCAAGATTCAATCAAAAGTCATGGACTGTTACAGATTTGGTTATTAGGACCCCCACCCCCCGAGTCTCCCTCATTATCAGCATCCTGCAACAGGCTGTTATATTTGTTACCGTGGATGAAACTACATTGACACATCAGTATCATCCAGAATCCATAGTTTACATTAGGGTTCACTGTTGGTGTTTTATATCCTATGGGTTTTGACAAATGCATAATGATATGTATTCACCATTATAAAATCTCACAAAATAGTTTAACTGCCCAAAAAGTTATCTGTGCTCTGAGTTATTAGGACTTTTAGTTTTCTCCAAATTTAATTCTCTCTATATTCTGAATTTAGAATATAACCCATTTTCTCTCCACCCCTTTTTCTTTCTTTTTTTTCCAGACAGAGACTTGCCTGTCTCACAGGCTGGAATGCAGTGATGCGATCTCACTCACTGCAGCCTCTGCCCCCCGGGTTCAAGTGATTCTCATGCCTCAGCCTTCCAAGTCGATGGGATTACAGTCACCTGGCACCACACCTGGCTAATGTTTGTATTTTGGTAGAGGCAAGGTTTTGCCATGTTGGCCAGGCTGGTCTCAAACTCCTGTCCTCAGGTGATTCACCTGCCTCGGCCTCCCAAAGTGCTGGGATTACAGGCGTGAGCCACTGCGCCCAGCCTTCTTTTTCTTGACATTGACTTGTTGAAGAGAGGAGGCCAGGCTATTGTCCTGTAACATCCCATGTGTGTTGACTTGTTTCCTCTGATTGTCTTTTGCCTTCTAACTCGTAGTTTCTGTCAACTGGAAATTATATCTGAAAGCTTTGATTGGGTTAGGTTAAACATTTTGGGGAGAAAAAATACTTTGTAGGTGATCTTGATAGATTAATTTCAGGTTAAACACTTGTGGGGAGGAATATAGTTTTTTTTGTTTTTTGGGTTTTTTTTTGTTTTTGTTTTTGTTTTTGTTTTTTTTTTGAGACAAGGTCTCAATCAGTAGCCCAGGCTGGAGTACAGTGGCACGATCATGGCTCACTGCAACCTTGACCTTCCCAGCTCAAGCAATCCTTCTCCTGCCTCAGCCTCTCAAATAGCTGGGACCACAGGTACATGCCACCCATGCCTAATGAACTTTTTTATTTGTATTGAGATAGGGTCTCATCGTGTTGCCCAGGCTGGTCTCAAGCTCCTGAACGCAAGCAGCCCTCCTGCCTCGGCCTCCCAAAGTGCTGGGATTACAGGTTCAAGCCACCATGCCCAGCCTATAGTATTCGTTATAGGTGATCTTGTATATTTCATATAGCATCACATAAGGAAGCCAATAATGTTTGGTAGTACTTAAATTGAGTAAAGGTGACAGCTTGTAAATAATATTAGAAAGTAATATTTTCCCCCTTGTAAGAGCAAGTGAGTATTGGGGCAATGCTTAGAAATCCTGCCTATATATCTAGTTTCCCATTATCCTTTTACCTGTGTGTTTTAGCATCCTTGCCTGAGTCAGTTATTTTATTAGGAGTGTCAAAGAGGTTATTTTTCTAATTTTCTTTAACATTTATGATTGGCTGCCATGCTTTTGTACAAATGAGCTTTCGCTCATCCACTAAGGCTATTTGGTTATCCTTAAACTTATTGTTTTCTTTTTGAGACAGGGTCTTACTCTTGGTCAGACTGGAATACAGTGGCTCTACCACAGCTCACGGCATCCTCTAACTCCTGGGCTCAAGCAATCCTCCTGCCTCAGCCTCTCAAGTAGCTGGGACTATCGGCACATACCACCCATGCCTGGCTAATTTTTAAAAAATATTTTGTGGAGATGAAGGTCTCGTTGTGTTGCTCAGGTTGGTCTTGAACTCGGAGGCTCACACAATCCTCCTGCCTTGGCCTCCTAAAGTGCTGGGATTACAGGCATGAGCCACTGTGTCTGGCCATCCTTAAATGTTATACTGAGATGCAATTTTTATGGGGAAGGAGTAAAGGATTAATTCTTTTTTGTAATTACCAATTTTCAGAGTAAGGCCCCCGCGGTGTTTCTGTGTCTATTTGTCCTCAGATCTATTCATTGCCCGGAATTCCCTACCTAGGAGGTGGGCTGGGAGAGGGAGATAGGTGACCCCTACGGTTTCGCTTCCCCATCTTCTATCTCCTGATACTGGAAGACTGAAGAGAGTGAAGGTCAGAGCCAGTGTATCCCCCCCGTCTACTCCTGGGTTTCTAGGATTTCATAACTTTATCGTTTGTTCACTTTATTTTTTCTTAGTTTATAGAAAGTGATACTTTTTTTTTTTATTTATGAGGCTGATACCAAGTTTCTTTTTAAAATAAATTTAAATAATAACTGTGATTCTTATAGGGCACAGATGAGGCAAAAATTGTAAGAAGTCCATGATCTAAAGATTAGGAAACTGTTTGAAGCAAAATCGAGTGTGGAAATCTGGACAGTGTCAGGAGGTAGAACAGAGGGACTGGAATAGTGGATGGGTATTAAGAAGCTGCAATAGACTTCCTTTAAATTGAAGGTAGAAAAGAGAAGGGGCCTGGGCGCCGGTGGCTCACGCCTGTAATCCCAGCACTTTGGGAGGCCGAGGCGCGGTGTGGATCACCTGAGGTCGGCCGAGTTCAAACCCAGCCTGCACCACACCTGGAGAATACCCCGCTCCTCTACCTTAAAAATAACAAAAATTTAGCGCAGGCATCGGTGACGCATGCCTGTAATCCCCCAGCTACTCAGAGAAGGGCTGAGGCGCAGGGAATCCACTTGAACCCGGAGGCCAGAGGTTGTGGTGAGCTGAGATCCGCCGCCATTCGCACTCCCAGCCTGGGCAAAAAAGAGCGAAACTCCGTCCTCAAAAAAAAAAAGAAAAAAAAAAAGAGAGGAAGGAATTAGGATGTTACGTCTGGTTTCCTGGCTTGGTGAGTTGTGGCTCTCAGTTAGAGATAGGGAATAGAAGAAATGGCACATTTTTCGTTTTCTATTCTAGTGAAATGAGGTTCAAAATATGAAGGAGAGGAGATACTAAGTCAAAAGCTTGCATGTTTTTTTCCAGTCATTTTAAAGAAGGTACAGATGTTTAACAAGGGTTAATAGTAATAAGTAGTCAGCAAATGTCCTTTTGGATAATGAGCTGAAGTAGAGGAAAGTGAAGCGAAAGTAGTTTCTGTGTTGGAAATTCACTAATGACCCTATTTCTACTTTTTTAAGCACTTTGTCTGACACTTTTGGTATAAAGTAGGGTGCTCAATAAGAATTGGTTAACTTAAGTCTACAAAACTGGAATCTCTCTTCTGTTTCTGTGCCCTGGTATGTTTTCTTATTTAATGTCGTTTCTACAGCAGTCTTTTGCTTGTCTCGTTTGATCGCAAGGATTATTTCTTTGATTAGCAGAGTTGAAAGCTCAACTCCCATAAAAACAATTTTTTTGGAAACCTGCATAGAGTAGTTACAGCTAGTGATTTGATTATTTTTTAAATTTATCAATCAAAGAGCAGACTTTTTGGGTTTAACTAAATACTTCTATTTAGAGCCACATTTGATTGACTAACACAAATTTATACTTAACTTACATTTTATAGAACTTTAAGGATCATTGTATTGGTACCGAATCTCATCAAAGACAACTATTGCTGGCTTCAGAAAATCCTCAGCAGTTTATGGATTTATTTTTTCAGATGTGAGTACTCAAAGAAAACTCTTTACTCTTATAAGCTTTAATTCAAGTTTGAATACTTAATATGATGGGTTAATATTGTTAAATATGGAAGGTTCTATTATTGTCCTTATATGTTAACATAACTGTATTCTCTCTATTGCTTTAGTTTTTATCTTCTCTTGAAAAATTAATCATACTCTTAAGACCTTTTACAAAATTATTTTCTCCACAACTTAGTTTTTTCCCTTTCTTCCACTTCAAATATACGAAGCTGTCCTTTCATTCTAACAACACTTGTGACACAAATGAACATATGGTTCCTGTGTTCAGACCTTTTCAAACTCAATCCTTCTCTCATTTAAAAAAAACTGTATGCACTTTGGGATGAACCTAACTTTACGTTTCCTGTGGTTTATGTCTCTCCTCATCTCTAAATGGTGCTAAAAAGCCAGGCGAGGTGGCTCACCACCTGTAATTCCCAGCACTTTGGGAGCGACGGCGGATGGAGTCAACAAGGTCAGGAGTTCAAGACCAGTGTGGCCAAGATGATGAAACCCCATCTCTACTAAAAATACAAAAATTAGCCTGACGTGGTGGTGGACGCCTGTAATCCCAGCTACTCAGGAGGCTGCGCGCAGGAGAATTGCTTGACCCGGGGAGGCAGAGGTTGCAGTGAGCTGAGATGCACCACTGCGCTCCAGCCTGGGCGACACAGCAAGGCTCTCGTCTCAAAAAAAAAAAAAAAAAAGGGCACTAAAAATAGCAACCTCTTCTAAGTATTGCTGATCCTTCATAGAGTTTATATGAAGGTCAATGAATTAATATTTTATGAGTGCTTAGAAGAGTGCCTATATTCAATTCAGATTAGCTGTTGTTACAATTACCATTGATAACCATCTCTTTGCTTGTTACCATCTCTTTCTTTCCAAACTTCTAGACATTTTGGTCCTAGGACCCCATTATACTTATAAAAAATATTGAAGACCCCAAGAACTTCTGTTTATGTGGGTTATATGTATCAACACATAGAAATCAAAACAAGTTTTTTTAAAAAAATTGGTTTATAAATTATTGAGACAGAGTTTCACTCTTATTGCCCAGGCTGGAGTGCAGTGGCATGATCTTGGCTCACTGCAACCTCTGCCTCCTGGGTTCAAGCGATTCTCCTGCCTCGGCCTCCCGAGTAGCTGTAGCTGGGATTACAGGCATGCGCCACCATGCCCGGCTAATTTTTTATATTTTTAAGAGAGAAAGGGTTTCGGCATGTTGGCCATGTTGGTCTTGAACTCCTGACCTCAGGTGATCCACCCGCCTCAGCATCCCAAAGTGCTGGGATTACAGGCGTGAGCCACCGTGCCCAGCCATAAATTAATTTTTAAAAATAATACACTTATGTGTTAAAGTTAATAATGTTTTTAATGAAAAACAAGTACATCTTCTAAATTTTAAAACATGCATTGTTTTACATCTTTGCAAATCTCTTCGATGTCTCACCTAATAGAGGCCAGTTGAATTCTTGAATCTCCGTCTGCATTTAGTCTGTTGGGAAATGTTTTGATTGAAGCACAGAAAGAAAATCCAGCCCTTGAGTTCACAGTCTAGTAAGGAAGAAAGAAAAATCCAGCCTTTACATAGATATGTAGTTGGAAGCAGGAGGAGTATTTTAATAATATTTTCAGATAATTTTCTTCCTTGATACTACATCAGAACACAATGCATGGCAGTGTCTTAAAGATTAGTTCCAGTGGGGACTCTGAAACCAGGTCAGTGAACCTTTTGTACTCTGTTACATTAAAATCCATGGGTTGTCTTTGATTTTGAGTGACTCTTATACCCCATGCATGATTTCGTAACATGCACTGGTCATTTTAAAACTTGTCATTTCACTGACTTTCATAGATCTTCCCAATGGTGACAGATTTTATCAAACAATGTCATAAAATCATTCATTAATGTCAACACTGAAGTCATCAGAAACATCTTTAAAAGTATTGGGAATTATGTCAGCCTCACAGTGGCAGATACTAGTTTGAGAGTTCAGATTTTATCATTGGCAACAAATACTGTCAGTTGTTTCCCTTAATGTGACAGACACACTTTATTTTTTAGAAACTGTTTGCCAAATACTCAATTTGGAATAATGGTAGTGTATATATCAGGTATTATTTCAAATAAAAATGTCGTTCCATGAAAAAGACATTTCAGCTCACAGCTCACCACGTGTTTTTCTCAGGCCAGCTGTTGTTCAGCAGCAGAAGTGGTTCATTCATAAATTTCATTTCCTGACACACAGCGTTACACGTGAACTGGAGGGCTGACATTTGATACAGTCCTAATTCTGACTGCAAGTGTATGATGGTAAAGAACACTTGGACTGCTGGCGTGGTTTGGGATCACTGCTTGCTGCCTTGACTTTGCTAAGCTGCCAGCGAGCTTTCCCTCCGTGGCTTTTATACCATCAGTGCAGATAACACGGTGACAGAGGCAACAATTGTTTATCTGTGAACCACCTTAAACCATCTCGAGTGGCACATGGTGCATGTGCTGTGCTGGAAAGCACTGTTTTGGCAAGAGCCAGTTCCACCCAGTGCCCTCCTCTCCACTCCCGTTCACTCCCCAGTCCCCTGGAGACTGACTTCCGCCCCTTCGGGGCCTGAAGAGTCCCTCACGCCTTTTCCATCTTCATCCTCCTTGATCTTTCTTCTTACCTCTTCACTGACACCCCTGTCTTTCGTTCTTTCATAGTTTTCCTGCTCCTACTCCCACTGTGCATCTTTCTTCATCAACCCCGTTCCTCTCTGGCTCCTCATACAGGAAAGTTCTTCCAGATGCCCACGTGACTCCTTCTCACCCCACTGCACACGGTCTCCTGGAGTCCCGTTATTCTTTTAACTGTTACCTTTCTGTCCGAATGATTCCGAAATCTTGATGTTTATTCCTAACATCTTTTTTTGAGTTACAGATTTTTTTTCCCTTCCTGGGTGATCTAATCTGTTTCTGAAGGCTGTGTCAAAGTTAACGTTTCTGAAGTTGAACTCAGTATTCTCTCCACACAACTTTCTTTCTTTTTTTTTTTTTTTGTTTGAGGGGCAGGGAGAGGGGGGATGGAGTCTCACTCTGTCACCCAGGCTGGAGTGCAGTGGCACAATCTCGGCTCACCACAACCTCCGCCTCCCAGTTTAAGCAGTTCTCTTGCCTCAGCCTCCTGAGTAGCTGAGATTACAGGCACGTGCCACTGCACCTAGCTAATTTTTGTATTTTTAGTAGAGAAGGGGTTTCACCATGTTGGTCAGGCTGATCTTGAACTCCTGACCTTGTGATTCACCCGCCTCAGCCTCCCAAAGTGCCGGGCTAAGCACCTGTCTTTTGTTTTACTAAGACAGGGTCTCTGTGCCCAGGCTGGAGCGTGGTGGTACAATCATAGCTCACTGCAGCCTCTCTCTCTCTGGTTTTTTAAGTGATCCTCTCACCTCAACCACTCAAGTAGCTGGTACTACAGGCCTGGCTACTTTTTTTTGTTTAGCAGAAATCAGGCCTCACCACTGTTGCCCTGGCTGATATTGAACGCCTAGGCTCAAGCGATCTTCCCTCCTCAGCCTCCCAAAGTGCTGGGATTACAAGTGTCAGCCACCTCACCCAGCCAAACCTGCTTCTTATTCTGTGCTGGCGAATAGCCATCTCCCACACTCCTCAGCTGTAAACCACAAGTCCTCTTGGAATTTCCATTTGTCAGTTGTCCTGCACAACGTCCTTTATACTATGTCCTTTCCATTCTCACTGGCCTAGCAGTAGTTCTCTGCATCTCTCACCTGAAGTATTTTAGTGAGGTTCTCACTGGTCGCCCAGCCTGCAGCTTCAGCCCCTTCTGTACGTGTTTTATACCAGTGATTCACAAACTGCTGAGTGCATCAGAGTCACCCAACTTCTGAGGCGGTCAGTCTGGGGCAGGGCTGGAGTCTTTTAGTTTCTGTCAAGTTCTCAGCGGCTGATGCTGCTGGTCTAGAGGCCACAATTTGAGAATTATTGTTCTCTGCTGTCTACCAGATTTTAACACATTTCTCCAAAGTTTTAAAAATATATTTAAAAATTTTTAATACTATATATGTGTGTGTATATATATATATAGGTGGGGCGCTGGTTAGTCCAGCTATCTACTGGGAGGTGAGGCAGGGAATGGCGTAAACCGGGAGGCGGGAGTTGCAGCCTGAAGCTGAGGAGATCTGGCCAACTGCACTCAGCCTGGGCGACAGAGCGAGGAACTCCGTCCTCAAAAAAAAAAAAAAAAAAAACTATACTGGCTGGATGCAGTGGGTCGTGCCTGTAATCCCAGCCAACTTGGGGAGGCGAGGCAGGGTGGATCACCTGAGGCCAGGAGTTTGGACCAGCCCTGTCCACATGGTGACCCCACTTCTACTAAAAAT